ACAAACTGATTTCCTCCTTTAGCTCGTTGTTTACAAACTGATTTCCTTGTTTAGCTCGTTGTTTACAAACTGATTTCCTCGTTTAGCTTGTTGTTGTTTACGAACTGATTTCCTCGTCAATAATTTAAACTCTTTCACGTCTCGAGGCATCGGCTCGGCTTCAGGAACATCTCATTAAATGTTCTTCTTTCAGCTGCTCCTTCTTCAGGGGTCTCCACAGAGAACCAACACTTGGTGATTGTTTTTACGGTGTCCTTCCTGACGACCACTGAGCTACCACAGCCGTGTGTGGAGCAGAGGGTGGGGCTTTAAGGTCTTGCTCAAGGGCCCAGGGTGGGACAGATGAGGGTGCTTCACTTTCTCACCAAGTTCTGATGCAACTGTCAGAGGATTCGAACCGGCTTCCACCTTTAACCTCTGCACCACCGCTGCCCTGGGACTACTTCCAACTGTCAGTCAAATATTTAGGTCATATTTGATCAAAAATTATTAGAACGTGGTTTTAAAATCAAAGCATATTTTATTTGTAACAAAAACCTTCAGCGTCGGGACACGGAGGTTGTTTCAGGGTTTTATTTTTGTCCGGTTTTTAACAGAGTTCAAGTCTGAACAGGTAAAAAGGTCTGGACCTCTGCGCAGCGTTTCCTGCTGAAAAAACAAAAAGCTGCGCCTCAACGTTGGATTTAAAGATCCGAGTCTCGGACACGAGACGAGCGTCTGAACGTTTAAAATATTTAAACGTGTAGAAAGTGACGTCTGACGACAGTTTAAATAAAGAATAAACCCAGACGATGAACTGATGGACGCTGCAGCTGAACCAGCTTCAATCAGACCGTTGTCACGGCAACGTGAGGAGGCGGGGTCATCAGTCCAGGTTTGATTGACATGTGGGCGTGGCTCTACGTGGCTCTGCTCTTGGAGGCGGACTCTGTCTCGTGCTCGTACTCGATCTCCACGTATGCTCGCTTCTTCCTCACCGCCGAACCGTTAGCCGGAGATTTGCCCTTTGACCTGGAGGCCTTTGTCTGCACCTCCTCCTCCTCCTCACTGGACTCCTCCTGCTCCTCCTCGTCGCTGCTCGTCTTCAGCTTGTTCATGTCCTGAGAGAGGAAGCTCGAGTCATTCAGAGGCTGCTGACGAGTTAAATTCAAAAACAACCGAAGAAACGACATTTTCTGCTAAAATACGACGCGAACAGAACGACCGCTGACGTTAGCTGGAGAGAAGCTAAAAGATGTTTGTAGCTAGAAGCAGCTAAAAGATGTATGTAGCTAGAGGCAGCTAAAAGATGTTTGTAGCTAGAAGCAGCTAAAAGATGTCTGTAGCTAGA